CGTCTTATACGCCCAGTCGTCTTATACGCCGGAAAATACGGTAAATGTCAAGTTACCCTAAATACTCCAACTTAATTTCTGCATCCTTCTTGTTTCTCTGATGAGTTTCTTGCCACTGAGGAAAGAAAACTCAAGAAATATTGCCTAATGCAGGCTGCCCACCATATACACAGATTCAAGTGTCCACAGCTTGAAAATATTTTAAAATGATATAAATTCCAAAATGCAAACCTTGATTTTGCCATTTTATATAAGGGACACCATTTTACTTTGCCATTGTATTTAATGTGACTTGAGCATCCACAGATTTTGGGGGGTCCTGGAACCAAACCCCAGCAGATACCAAGGGACCACTGTAGATTTTATTGTGGTGTGACCAACCTGATTCCCTTCCTTGAAACTGAGTCCAAAGTCGATGAGCTTGAAGCACTCCTCCTCTGCACTCCAGAGGATGTTGCGTGGCTTCAAGTCTGCATGCACGTAGCCTTTGTGGTGGAGGAATGCCAGGGCTTCCAGGATGTCTCGGGCACAGTGCTGAGTGATCCACATGGAGCAGCCATGCTGATTCGAATGCACAAGCAACTCTGACACGCTGACATCCAGCAGCTCTAATAAAAGGCAGTACGATGGGCCTCTGGCAGAAGAACAGTTGGTAAACACACCATAGAGGGTCACTACAAGCAGAAAATATCCAAAACGTATTGGCAGGAGTTGTACAGTACAGAAACATCAACCTTCAAAAGCAATTTTCTTGCTAGGTCTTCAGCAAATCCCACAAGATAACCTGTATGGAAGATACTAGCTTCAGTTTCTCCAAAAACTTCTGCTAGTTTATGGCCTGAACTATATGTCTACTCAAAAAGTGAATAAATGCCCTTTGTTTCTTCTTAGAAGCTAACCTTCCAATGTAGAAGTGAATTTCCACACTCTAGCTCAGAGGTAGGCAACCTTTTGGAGCCGGGGTTGCTGTCCCTCAGACAATTGGGGGAGCTGAAGCACCAAAAATAA